CACATTATTGTAGCCGTTACAATTGTATAGTATAAAAGTTGAGCCCATGTAACAAGTAGGGGGACACACTCTGATTTCTATACTAAAAACTATTGCAATATAACTTATCTTTACTCACACATAATAATAATATTATCCAGTAACATATTTACCGTCAGAGCCGTAGGAGGAGCTTTAGAGCGACTACGAATTTCCATGACATGTGATCGAACTGTCGGTCGTGTAGACTTCCCTCGTGGGCGGCCGCGAGGCCGAGTGGTTGTCGTAACCGGTGCAGCCGGTAGCGACGAGGCGGACTGCACTGGTTCGGCAGCCACGATGTTGCTGGCCGGATAGTGTAGCAAGGACTCGGCCCACGGGGTAGGCTGTATGACCGGAGATTCCTGCAAAGAATATTTAGGAGCAAAGGGAAAAACTGCCTCATAAAATCTGGCATGCATGCATACAAAAATTTTATTATTCTGTAAGTCCATGCATCTATACCCCTGTAATGACTCATGATAAACTAAGAAGACACAAGGCGAGGAACGGTAAGACATGTTGTGACGATTGTAGGGTCTTAAATGGAGATAACACAAACAACCAAATACACGTAAAAAGGAATAGGATAGAGGAGATTTATGCAGTAGAAGATGAGCATTGGAGTCATTTAAAATAGGAGATGGCATTTTATTGACTAAATAAACAGCAGCCTTAAAAGCAAAATCCCAAAACTTAGGAGGAACAGAGGCACAAGCCATTAGAGTTAGACTAGTTTCGACAATGTGTGTACGTTTCCTCTCAACCAGACCATTTTGTTCATGAGTGTAAGCACAAGATTGTTTATGGTTGATCCCTAATTGAGCTAACAAAGAATGTAGCTTTTTGTACTCTACACCTAGATCAGACTTAATAGATTTGATTTTACAACTGAAGGAACGTTCAACAAAGCACGGAACTTTTCAAAGATGACATAAAGATCATATTTTTGTTTCATGCGATAATACCAAGTAAAGCGAGAGTAATCATCCACAAATATAACAAAACACCGATATCCATCAACAGACAACATAGGAGCTAGACCCCAAATGTCAGTGTATATTAAATCAAGAATTTGCGAACTAGAAGACTCAACACGTGGCAAAGGGAAGCGCGCAGACTTTCCATATTAACATGCATTACACAAATTTGAATTACAACGAATAATATTATTGGACCAATTGACCGAACAAAACTGAAGAATACGACTAAGGACACGATGGTGTGGATGACCCAAGCAATCATGCCAGACTAATGTAGACACACGAGCTGAAAGGAAAGCGGAAGGAGGTGAACTCAAGACTGGCAGAGTGTACAGCCCCCCGGAACTATTGCCCCGTAGAAGAATTTCCATAATGTTGATATCCTTCACAACAAAGAAAGACGGGTGAAACTCAAAAAACACTTTATTATCTTAAGCGAATTTTTGAACAAATAGTAAAGAAGTAGAAAGTGTAGGCACATGAAGTACATCAGACAATTGAAACGACTTAGAGGGGGTAGAGAAAGAGGCATGACCAACACGACTAATAGATAAGCCCTTACCGTCACCAACACGTAACGTGTCATTACAATTATACTCATCTGAGATAGAAAGGGCAGATATATATATATATATATATATATATATATATATATATATATATATATATATATATATATATATATATATATATATATATATATATATATATATATATATATATATATGTATGTATTTGGACTAGCATGATTAGTTGCACTCGTGTTTGGGAACTAGGTATGAGAACCCTGAGTTAAATCTGAAGGGGGTTAAATCAGATGAGCCTGTGGATCCTTAATATACTGACTGTAGCAAGTAATTAACCGCGTTATGACCAAGATTCCCACACAATTGAAACTTCGACTGCCAATTGCCATTCCGACCACCACGGCCTTGTCCGCCACCACCGCGGTTCCTGCCGTCGTCGCAACCACGCGACTGGCCACTGATGTTGCTATTCTGCTCGGGGTTACGACCGCCTCCACCGCGCGACTGGCCACCTCGTCGCTGCTGCCCACCGTCGTGCTGAGCCGCAAAAGCAGCAGGCGAAGTGCCACCATGATCGTTGCTCGCGACGAACTCCTCCGCCCCCAAGAAGTCCACCAACTCATGCAGAATAACCAGCTGGCCACGGACGTTGAGCGAAGACGTCAACCCGCGAAACTCTGGTCGTAAACCCTTGAAGATGTAGAGATTTTGTTCTTTAAGGGATAATGGTCGACCGGCGAGATCAAGATAGTCTGCAACCGAGGAATCGCCTTGACGAAGCGATTGAAGTTGACCGAGAAGGTTTAGAGACCGAGCTCAGGAAGACGACGCAAGAGAGGACACGACAGCCCCCATGTCGCCTTGCTTGTGCGATGTCCGATTGCCAAAGACATAACCTCCTCCAACAAGGAAGACATAATCATGGAGATAAGAGCCTGATCCTAGCGAACCCATGCAGCGTATGCTGGGTTCGGTTGTGGTGGTGTGCGTCGTCGCCGGCGGGAAGGTAGGCGGGCGGACAAGGGTTTGTCCCATCAAGAAAACTCATGAGATCATGTCCGCGTAGAAAATGAACAACCTCAGCTTGCCAAAACATGAAGTTCTTGTATGTCAGTTTAATACTGATAAAGTGGTGGGCGGTAGATAAAGAACTCATAGCCGAGGTGACCAAAGAGATAACAACATCAGAGACAGTCCGTTCTGAGGAATTAACAGATCCGTCAGCCATGGAAAAGAAACCCTAGTTATCTGATACCAGATGAGAATGGTATGAATTGTATTGAATAGGATAATCACAATAGGTACATGTTGGGTTGGGATTCCCTCCTATGTGGAAAATAGCTCATGTTTGGACTAAACCAATTTTTATCCACTATATTTTTGTTGAGCCCTTATTATTATATTATTTATTTATATAATATGGAGTAATATTTTGGGGAATGTAGTTGAAGTTGGAGCAGCAATGTTTGAGCAGAAGATGAAGAGAAGCCATTTTACTTTCACACTCATCTATTGTTGGTGGCATGTGAAGAGGTGGAATTAATTCCCTTTGGCTCTTCCCATTCAAGAATGAAGCTATATAAGGGGGGAACTTTCATTGTTTCCTCACCACCTCTACATCACACATTCATTCCAATTGTTTGAGGCTAGACGTGGTGCTCATTCGGCAGTAGTGCAGAAAGAAGAGAAACATATCTATTTTCTCTCTTCTTCATCTTTTGTACATTTTGCCGTGAGTTATGCCGAAGATCTTGGGGTACTTTCTTCATCAAATATTTGTAGAGGTCAGTTGTTTGTTCCAGGCATCGTTTTGGGTAATCTCGTAGTATTTGTATTCTTTTCATCTCGCTCTTGGTGGTTGAATATTTTAAGTACGAGTTGGTATCCTTTTTAGGCCTGTGAACGTGATAGAATGTATTTGGCCTAGAGTTGATGTATTGTGATGATTTGTTGGATGTTTGGCTCGTGTGGTAGCCAGCAACTTTGTACCCAAGATTTGTGATAGTGGAATTGTTGTTGGTGGTGGTCCGTGGTTTTTCCCCGTGGTTTTGGGGTTTTCCACGTAAATCTTGTGTCCCTTCCGTTGTTATTTATTTTGGGCTATTGTGTTATCTCGTATTTGTGGACCGTGTCGGGGTCTGTGATTTTCGTTGTCACAAGAAGTGGGATTTTTCCCAACAGTACAGACTATATAGGAATATATACAAGAAATCGAGAATCACAGGAGACTAGGATAGGAAGTCATAATCTAACTCAAATACATAGAGTCTTAATAATGTTATATACAAATATAAATTTGGTTTAGAAATCAAATTTAAAAATCTTACATATATTAGATTTAAAAGTAAAAATTATATATATTCCATTTAAATCAAACATATTCAAAAATATTATAAATCTAAGGTCTAAAAGACACTTAAAATTAAATTTGTGTTAATTTTATAATGTTAATTAAAAAATATAAATTTAAAAAAATTAAAATTAAAAAATTAAAAAAACAAAATAAAAAATAGGGTTTCCCCAACCAGAAGTAAACGACCCAAGCTTTTTGGTTGATTTGGTCTTAAACCAACCCGTGTCACCTCTACCTTGTGCTAAAATGACACAGACATCCAATTTATAATTAAAATAAATATTACAAGTTTTTTCTACAACCCCTACACGTTAAACAAATCAATATTATTTTTTTTTGGGAAAATGGCACATTTTCCCCCTATGTTATATACTTATAGCACTTTTTCCCCCTCAATTATTTATGTAAACACATTAGCCCCCTCAATTATTTTAAAAGTGGTGGTTTTCCCCCCTAATATATTAAATTGACATTTCTACCCTTAAAGTAAACATTTTATTTATTTTACTTCTCCAACAAATTATTGCGTATATGTAGCGATTACCACGGTTCGGTTCGAACTGAACCAGACACTACAGCAATCGAATTAAAAGTTTCAGTTATGATTCAGATCTAGAACCCAATATTTGGATTTCAATTTATTAAATTTAAGAATAAAAAAAAAAAACTGGATCATGAACCGGCGGTTCCGGATCCCGTTCGCGATTTTGAATTGTCTATATTTTAAAATTTTATTTTTTATTTTAAAATAGTTTAAATTCAACAATAAATATATTTTATTTTTTCAGTTCGGAACATGAACCGGCCATTCCAGTTCGCGATTTTAATAAACTCTAAATATCGCGTTTTGATTATAAATTGTAATTGGAATATTTTGGTTTGGTTACTATAGTATCTGGTTTGAACCAAATTATAGTAATAATTTATTGGAGAATAAAAATAAATGAAATATTTATTTTAAGGGTAAATATGTCCATTTAACATTTCAGGGGGAAAAAGAGCCACTTAAATAATTGAGGGGGAAAAAGTGCTATAAATATATAACATAGGGGGAAAAAGTGTCATTTTCCCTTTTTTTTTTTCCAAAACTTCTGCTATAAATACCTTGCATTAATTTCCATTCCTATGATTCACAACACTAAACCTAGTCTTCTTTAATTTCTAGCTAGATAAAACCAAAATGGGGCTCTCTAAATACCCAGTAGCTCTGCTCTCCTTCATGGTGATAGCCATGTTTCATGTTTCCGACGCCCAGAATACCCCGCAAGACTACCTAAAACCTCACAACGCCGCCCGGGACCAAGTCGGGGTTCCCCACATGACCTGGGACGCCAACTTGGCCTCCTACGCGCAGAACTACGCCAACTCCAGGGCCGGAGACTGCAAGATGGTCCACTCCGGCGGGCCTTACGGCGAGAACTTGGCGGCGGCGTTCCCCGCCCTCAACGCCGCCGGGGCGGTGAAGATGTGGGTGGATGAGAAGGCTAAGTACAAGTACAGCTCCAATTCTTGCGTGGGCGGCGAGTGCCGGCACTACACTCAGGTGGTGTGGCGCAGCTCCGTCCGCCTTGGGTGCGGAAGGGCTCGCTGCAACAACGGCTGGTGGTTCGTCTGCTGCAGCTATGCCCCCCGCGGCAACATCATCGGCCAGCGTCCTTACTAATTAAAAATAATATTATTATATATATAAACAAACATGCAAAATAAATAAATAAATAAATAAAACTATTCGGGTCGAATAAGGATGTTTATCATCCACATATATATATATGGTGTAATGGTGTTGCATGCATGAGCCTTGCATGTTATATGATGATTGAATGTAATGAACGCTATAAATATATTTGCAGTTGGTTGTAATAATTATGTCCAAAAATTTTGATTTTGATTTAATTTGTATATTTTGTGGGTGACAATAGAAATCATCAGCCACTATCCGAGTGTGTTTACTGGATAAATTTGACCTTGTGATCCTAGGCTGCAAAGGACCACAAGAAGATGATGATATAATGTATGACAATTAGCCCCTAGCTGATTGTGTTACCTGTTTTGACCACCTGATATTATTAGTTGGTTATATAGATATGTTTGGTAATTTTTAAATAGAATGGAGGGGTAAACTCAGGAAATCGAACTAGCTATTGTTCACAATGATCCACTTAGACTGCGGGATCCCTTCTTGGTCCCCAAGCTTGGCTGTTCCAAGGCCATTGAATACCTCTGAGAAGACCCCAAGCTTCACTTTCTACAGCATGGTGAACGTTAAGATGGAATTTTTTTCACCATTGAGCGTTCTTTAAAATAATGTTTTTTTTTTTTTTTAATTAAGTATGGTTACTTTATTTGAACATAAATATTCCACAAAGATTAATAATTAAGTTGACTTCTAAACAATTAACTTGACTCGTAATTGGAAGTCTGGAGAAGAAGGTATGATGTGATTTATAGAGAGATACTAGAGAGCAATCTTACACCGTGGACCAGGATTTACAGTGTAATGTAGACCTTAATGCATGTGTATGTGTTTAATGTTGTCGAACACGTTACAAGTAAAATGACATATAAAGACTTAAGTATATTATGTTATTTATCAGGGACGGAGGGAGAGGGGGGCAGGGGGGCGCCCGCCTCCCCCCCCCCCCCCCCCGCCCCCCACCCCACACCACCCCTTATATAGTATTTGTATGTATATATGTATATATAGTACATGTTTTAGTATTAGTATAAAAAATTATAAAATATTAACAAGAAGTGAGTTAGAGTAGGTGGTAGAGCACAACTTTGGTAATATTGTGGTTAAGTGTTCCAATCTTAGTATCAACATAACTTTACAATTCTTTTTTAATAGCTTTTTTAATATTACACACACACTCTATAATAAGATGTGTAATTTATAATGTGTTTTCTATTCAAATTATTTTATTAATAATAGCTTTTTTAATATTACACACACACTCTATAATAAGATGTGTAATTTATAATGTGTTTTCTATTCAAATTATTTTATTAATTATGTTTCATATTTTGTTATGAATATTTTTATAAAGTTTCGATGGTGTTTTATTTTTCGTCCATATCCAACAATATTTACAATTATATTTCTTAGGTAGTTTATTTATTTATTTTTAAATTATCTCTTTTGTTTTAATGTTTCGCCTTTTCTAGAAAAATTTTCTGAATCCGTCTGTACTGTTTCGCCCCCCCTCAACCGAATTTCTGGCTCCGTCCCTGTTATTTATTTAATTCTTAAAGTATTTTGTTTATAATTTATTATTATTGTTGTGTTATTATTAATTAGTAATTATAGAGTATTTTTAACTATTATATTTTGTTTTATTATTAATAATGTTATAATTATAAATGTATACATTGTAGTTAATAATAATTCAATTCAAATGTCGGGCTTAAGGCAGTTCTGATGTATTAATATAAAATTTTGAATTTGAATAAAAATTTAATAAATATAAACACTACAATAACCAACAACTATTAAGGGTAACTTACACTTTTAAATAAAAAATGCAATAAACAAATATCAATAAATTGCTCAAGGATAACTTTTTTTTTATTTTTAAGCTTATTGGGATCAATAAGCTATGTCAAAAATTTATTAACCAAACACTCATATTAACATATTATTTAACTAGTCAAATAAATTAAAAAGGTCAAACAAATTAAATTTGATTTTAACTGATAAATCATTTTCTAAACAACTCATATACATAAACTACTAATGTAATTGTGATAGAAGTGCGCGCTATCCCGCATAATGCTATATTGATACAATGATGCTTAGTTATCAAACAAATTAAATTAGATTTTAATAAGTATGGTTACTTTTGAACATAAATATTCCACAAAGATTAATAATTAAGTTGACTTCTAAACGATTAACTTGACTCGTAATAGGAAGTCTGGAGAAGAAGGTATGATGTGATTTATAGAGAGATACTAGAGAGCAATTTTATACCATGGATCAGAATTTACCGTGCAATATAAATCTTAATGCATGTGTATGTATCTTATGTTGTGGGTGTTATGAAATTTTGTACCTTAAGAATATAAATGATGTACTTAAAATAAATTAGTAATTGCGTCTTATGTTATGAATTTATGTGTCTTGTGTTGTGAAATTTTGTACCTATGAACACAAATTATGTACCTAAATTAGATTTGAAAAATAAATAAATATATAACATGTGTATGTGTTTTGTGTTGTAATTTTTTTTTTCTATCTTGTATTATAAATTATGTACCTTCCAAATATAAATTATATATATCATCGTTTTGATCCAGAGTCCATAATGCTATATTAATGGTATAAGTTGCATACTTTATAATAAATAGTATATTTGAGTTAAAAATCATTGCATCCGGCTATTCTCATTAACCAATTAAAGAAATATAATTGAAGTTTGCAAGCAACTCCGATCCGCGGTTAATTGCTTCATTAATATAAAATAATGGTTAAAATGCTGTTCTGTAATCATTCTCAAGATGGCTTCAGAGACCAGGCAGGCAAAATAATTATTAACTTAATAACTATTTCTATGACGCAAAACCTGTAATACACGACATATTCGACTTTTCTAAATTATTACGATCTGGCCGCCAGACAATTTTCGTGGGAGAAAATTGGGAAGGGGTTTGGAAAACACCAAATTAAATCGTCGTGTATATTTATTTAGGCAAAAATTGTGTGAGACCGTCTCACAATCCTAATTTATTTGTAAAATGAGTCGGATCAAGATGAAAATGTAATATTTATACTGAAAATTGTAATAGTAATCATAAATAAATTAAAGTATTTGTTACTTAATTATAAAGGAAAACGTAATATTTTTACATTTAGACGATTTAAAAGTATTAAATTTTTATTCAAAAGTATTACAAACTTTCACTTATAAGTAAGAAATACTTTATTCTTAATTATATTTTTTTAGTATAATTAAGTATTACATTTTTATCTTGACTCGACTTTTCTTTCAAATAATGATCCGTGAGACAGTCTCATAGGAGAATCACTTATTTATTTAAAGTCGAATTAACTTGTTGAATGTAAGGATTATGATTCAATTATTGTGGGTTTTTATTTTTTAATTTAAAAAGACAATAAGGGTGGAAAATGTGTATTTTTAAACTTATTTGGCGTCATGGTAATGTATACTAGTTTATCACGAAATTAAACCAGTATAGCGTCATTTCGTAACATCTTAAGCCATTGTATTATAACTTATAAGTGTTCCACGTTGATACCGCAATTAGTATATAGCAAATTAAATTTCCCTTATATTCGTTATAAGCAATTTGGGAGGATAATCACGGAAATGCAAAGGTCTGGAAGGTCAAAGTCTAACATTTTATAACTAATCGTGGCGTTCACCTCCTTCTATGCAAGTATAAAGAAATTAATTTTATGTTCATTCTTTACTAGCTATAGTTTTGGCGTAGAATCGTAAGTGCTTAATCTTGAATTCTTGATACAATATTATTACTCAATTTTTTTTTAAAGAACATAACTTTTAACTATTGAAATAATAACGAGTGGTCACAAGATCGAACTCTGGTGGTGGGGCATTATTGTTTCTTTGTACTGAGAAAGATTGAGAAAGAATAGAATATATACTACATTGTAAAGAATCACGAGGGTTTCAAAATAATAATAATAATGAGTTAAAGGAGTTTGCACTTATTCAAAATGTAATATCTTGATACATTGTACAATCAAGACATATCACTATAAATATCTATGAATAATTTAATGTTTGTTTCTTTATCTTGATTGGGGGAAGTTGTGTACATATAGAATACATATTGCAGTCATTTACAGCCTAAGAAGTTGGAATAATGAAATTGTTAATAATTGATTAGCTAGAAGAAATAGGTGTTGGAAATTTTCATCCAAGATTGAATAGTTTTGGTCCATCATCTCTAAAGTCCATCTACATACGGTTAATTTAGTAGCCTGCGGGACGGCAAAGGAAAGAAGATATATATATATATATATATATATATATATATATATATATATATATATATTGACTAGCCATGAATAGGTTAGGCAGGTTTGCAATCGGTATGTTGTGGAACCGTCTCCACCTCGCAAGGTGGACAAGGTTCTATCTTCATAATTACTGAACTATATGTTTATGATTATAAAGTTATATATTCATAATTTTTGAACTTTATATTCACAACTAGTTTTTTACGCGCATTGCGCGATTGGGATAATGCCCAATGTTTTTTTTTAAAAAAAAAATAAGTAATTTAAAGTATATCAATGCAAGATTATATTGGAATTGTTCATGCATAGATAATTGAATGTTAAATTTGCGTATTTAAATAGGCAATTCTAAGTTTACAAATGTAAGATAATATAGTCAAGATTGATTATAATTGTCAATGAAATAATTCTATAGGTATGATTGAAACCAAATACGGGACATAAGGGAGAGCAAATAAAAATTAGGGCATAAAATATTAAATATATACTAATATTGAAGAGCTAACTGCTGATTGCCCAAACAAGGACATTGTGAGATAGTTTCCACTTCAATTTATTGTGTGATTTTGAATACTCTTTTTGTCAATAAATCGTCAAAGTAGTTAATATGATTGGTTTAATTATATTTTTTATTTCTTTATTTTTTAAACAATTATATGTGTGTGTGTGTGTATATATATATATATATATATATATATATATATATATATATATAATTTTTTCATCGTATTAATAAAATACTTGGTAAATAAATATATAGCACTATTTTGTATTATAACTTTGATATTTAATTAAAAAATTGTGCACAAAAAAAGATAATAGACAATGTAGTGAACATAATCAATTGATGAATTTGTACATTGGAGAAATATAAAAGACAATATAACTAATAACATTATTTCTCTTAACTAACTTATTGATAATGAATAATATTTTTTAATAAAGACATTGTAGGGACAATGTAGCGAATATAATCAATTGATGAATTTGAATGTAAAGAATTTTTATATTAGAGAAAAATAAATACAATATAACTAATGAAATTATTTCTCTTATTTAATTTATTGATAATGAATAATTTTTTTTTGAATAAAGACATTGTAGACACATAATTCTAAATTAAAGAAATGCATATGTATAATTTTTTGTTGTAGCTACTAAATTATTATTTCTACATCTACATCTATCTATCTACATCTACAATTCTAATAAGAGCCAATAATGTTAGGCCCTTAACTGGAACAAAAAAAAATGTCGGTACTATTGTTTCTTAAAATGAATGGTTCATATTATTTTTATTTTAGTATGTTTTATTAATTTTCCTTATTTACCCTCTATTATATTATTTTCTTCCCTTAAATAACCTAAATTTCGTTAGCATAAACTTTAGTAACGGAATATTCCGTTAACTATTTATTATTTTAACTTACACATTAATTTCTATAGGAAAAGTCTTAGTTTCGAACCACATCCCAATTAGAGTTGGCATAATTGTTAAACATATACTACGAATATGTTAAAATATATTTAAAATATATATAATATAAAATTTAACATAAAATTTGTTCAAATAATTAGTCTGACTAAATACATAACATTCAAAGTTAAACATCAAAGATTATAAATCAAGAACTTTAAAAATCATTTGATTTTTATCCATTAAAAAAAACATATTTAGGTTTTTTTTTTTTTGTTTAATTAATCTTCTTTTGATTATTTAGATCAGAAAAAAACTTAATATTTCAATTATACTTTTGCATTATTGGTATGATTTAGGTCGTTATGTCATTAATATTTTTTGTATGTATTTTTATAATGGTACAATTATTGTACATTACTTTACAAATATTATATTATTATTTTTTTATCGGACAAAATTGTTCTTACGTCATTATCAGATCTGCGCGACCTAACTACAAAATTGTTGATCATAAATACAATTACACCTGGACTCTAAAACGGTAGGATCATTTTCTAACGAATGACAATGCTGACATCCCACTGGCTCTAATTGAACAAGTTTAGACATCAGAATTTTATCAATGCATGAAAACTTCTAAAGAAATTTGTAAGTTAATTTTTACTATATTATTATAACAATATCTATTGTACCTATATATTTTGAATTATTTATTATCATCCTATATTGACAGGAATTGTAACAATTGTCATTGACGCACTCTCAAAATAATTTGTCTCAACAACGAATGTAAATTAAAAAAAAAAATCAATGGTTGCGTTATTGTTGATGAAAAGTATGTACGCCAGAAACTTTATTACTCTTATTAAACTAAATAAAGTAGTAGCTACAACAAAAAATAATACATATGCATTTAATTAATTTAGAATTAGATGTCTATAATGCCTTTATTTTAAAAAAAAATTATTCATTATAAAAAATTTAAAAATAGATTTGATTTCATTAGTTATATTATCTTTATTTCCTACCATTCAAAGATTCATTACCTTCAAATTTATTAATTTATTATATTCACTGCATTGTCCATTGTCATCTTTTTACATTATCTTGTAATTAAATATCAAAGTTATAATACAAAATACGTTATATATATTTATTTACTAAGTATTTTATACAAATATAATAAATATTAATATTTTGTTCAATACTTTCACATGATAACCTACGACACACATCTCACAATGCATGAAACATGTAGGGGAAAACTACCACTACCAAATATCGATTAGAAAATTCAATAAATATTATCTTGCATTTATATATTTTGAATTACCGATTTAAATAAACAAATTCAATATTTATTTACATATGCATGAACATCTCTGATATAATATTGCGTTGATATACTTTGAAATACTTATTTAAAAATAATCATTGGGCATTATCCCATTCGCGCAAAGCGCGTAAAAAAACTAGTAATTTAATAAGAGTAAAATAGAGTACTAATTATGCCAACTTTGATTGGGATGGGGTTCGAACCTAAGACCTTTCTTATTGAAATCAATGAGTGAGTTAACGGAGAACTAACAGAAATTAACGAAAAAGATAATATTTAACGGAAAATCATATTCATTAAGAATAAATTAAGAAATCCAATACTGGTGTATATGGTGAGCTTAGATTAGTTTGGAATTGAAATTTCATCTATAACTCTGTGAGCTTGGTGTATGGACTTTCTATTTATTACTAAAAATTAAGTTTTAATAAAAAGAATAGAAGGTTGGTTTGAGATTGAATTTTTATGTTATTAGTACATGTGAGAAAACTTTGACGACTGAATCACCTAGGCTGCCGAGTCAGTGTTGGTTTTAATGGTATTAGTAGATTCCTTTTTTTTTTTTTGAAAGGAAAATATTTCAATAAAATCAAGCAATTAAATGTTCAATACAAGAAGAGATATTAGAAAACCAATTAAGATGACCAGTATGAGAACTAGCAGCTCTAGCCAACACGTGAGCAAGCTTATTCACTGATCGATTGATATATTGAATGGACACTGATTCAAAGTGTCGTTTAAGAGATCGGCAATACTTTAGAACGCAACCTGCATAAGAATGATCTGGTAAGTCATTAGTAGATTCCTTATTCCTATATATTTTTATTCTTCTTCTCCTCCTTTTTTTAATTTTTAAATCTTATTGTGAATTAGTAGTTTGTTTAGTCCTAGTTTCAAATACATCAAATTAAGGTTTTAGTGTGCAATGTCCAGGCCAAAGTCATCTGCTAACTCATACTTATCCCATGTGTACCGAAAGTGGATATCTCATCTAAGTTCTCTACCTAAAATGTCAAAAGCAAACTATCCCCATGTCATGTCTAAAATCTATCAACTGCTGCATTAATTGACATACAATAAAATCCCTAATAAAAATGTTTAGAACTATATATAGCCGCATAATTATCAGAATCTATCCCCCCTCAAACTCAATTTCATGAGAGGAAGGGGGGAATATTAATTGAGACAATAAGATTAGGGAAAACATTATCCATAAGCTCCTTTTCATGCTACCAAATTTAAAGAGCAATAATTTAATCTAATGGATCTTGCAAATCAATGTCTACAGGTGAATCTGAGGAAATTCTATTTCTTCAAGTAGATTACACCCATGAAAGTAATTCAAAAATCACAGGCACAATGTGTATTTGACAGGTAGGATCCAGAAAACATGACTAAACTAAACTAAACAAATTAGCTTATACTAAACAAAAAAACAGTCTCAATCTTTATATATAGTAAGCAAATTGGCTTAAACTAAACTTGTATTAGGGCACACAATAACAGAAATTGCCAAGAATGAAGTTTAATCAACGAATGAGAAAGGGGAAAAACAAGATGGGATTTTTATTTATATTAATATTTTTTTAAAAAAAAAAACTAACCTTTTCTAAATGGGATATTTGAAATCGAGGGATCAGAGGAAGGAGTTTTGTTTCCTTCAGGAGTAGTAGTCAGCGCAACGTTGTTGAAAAACTTGCAGTTAGGGATAATTTCAGAGCTGCGAAGAAGGATTTCAACAAAACTGAGGATGATTTGAAGTCTCTTCAGAGCGTAGGCCAGATAATTGGTGAAGTTCTTAGGCCTCTTGACCATGAACGAATAGAGAGGCATACATAAATTGCTGGATCGCCGATCGATCCTCTCGAGGAATCGATATCGACAGTCTGATCGGCTGAGCTTTTGACTTATTCGACCTTTTCTTTTTGTCTGTTAAACAACAGTCTATTTCTTTCAATGGCTTCGAAGGAGGTGAAGACGGGTGAGTCGGCTGTGGAGATCAAGTAGTCGATGAGGGAAATTTGGCAAAATCTTGAAATTTCTTCAGCATCCAAAAACTATTATAGAGGAAGGAGTTTTGGTGAGATATATACTAAATGGATGAAAGGTGAGATTGACTTAACGGCAAACTAACGGTTAATTAAAATTTTTAACGGGTGGACTAACGGTGTGTGGGTATTTAAGTAAATCTCATTGTAAAATTTAAATCTGATCAATTTTATGATTAATCTGAGCCATTCATTTGATTAAAAACTGTGGCGGACATTTTTTCTACCCATTTTAGGCCTAACCCTCTTGGGCTCTTATTAGTATAGTAGATTACATAACTCTATATTCATAATTACTGAATTATATGTTCATAATTATAATTTATAAAGTTATATATTCATAATTTTTGAACTTCATATTCACAATTATTGAATTTCTATATTTATAATTACAGAACTATATGTTCATAATTATGTTCACAACTCTATGTTCATAATTATAGAACTATATGTTCATAATTTCTGAACTATATATTTATAATTATGAACAGTTTTAGAACCGTGTCCACCTTTCAAGTATAATTTGCCGCAAGTTTGTATTGCTAAATTTGAATATTCAACATGACAAAAAGTAAATATCTTTGTGTCTATATATACAGTTGAAAGCAATGTCATCCTTCGTTACTTTTTGAGTGACGAGAGAAATTTGCAGTCAAGACCTAAGGATCCGTATTGAATAAATCTCGCCATATGGTCATACTTGACAAAAGACCACAAAGAACTAAATCAACTTAAGTTATTCACCCACGATTCAAACCAAGTTGCATTGTTCAATCTGTCGTTGACATCGAGCTGAGCCACTAGCATATATGGGACGATGAGGTGATTGTGTTTGTTTGTAAAATTAATTTTAGTAGTGGCGGTGTGTGAGAGGATATACTCACACCGGATATATCTCAAGGAGATGATTGGAAGGATGTCAAATAGAGAGTTGGGCGTGCCCATATGATGTCTCACATAGGATGGGTAAGGATCCAAAAAGTGGGGCGTTGAGCTCCTCTTCTTGTTTTGTTTTGTTTTGTTTTTTTTTTTTTTTTAAATTGTTTTATTATTAGTATTATTGTTGTTGTTGTATGAATGTCATATTGTTATTATAGGTCTTCTTACATATAAACCGCTAATAGTAAATATGTAATTTTATCAAATATTTCCTACAAACCGCTAATAATCAGGGTCGTTTTTTTTTTTTTTTTTTCTTTTTGTGGCCCCGTTCTTATAAATAAATGAGGCCCTACCAAAAGTATAAGGAGCGTTATGCCCTGGACTCCACCATGTGCATGGTGGACACGCTGTACATTCATAATTTCTATATTGTAGATTCATAATTTCTATACTGTAGATTCATAATTTCTATACTGTAGATTCATAAAATTTATAATGTAGATTCATAATTTCTATACTGCACATTCATAATTTATGTACTGTAGATTCATAATTTCTATATTGCACATTCATAATTGTTGTACTGTAGATTCATAATTTCTATACTGTAGATTCATAATTTTTATACTGTAGATTCATAAAATTTATAATGTAGATTCATAATTTCTATACTGCACATTCATAATTTCTGTACTGTAGATTCATAATTTCATAACTATACAGTTTAGAAATTATGAATCTACATTACAGAAATTATGAATCTACAGTACAGAAATTATGAATGTGCAGTATAGAAATTATGAATTTACATTATAAATTTTATGAATCTACAGTTTAGAAATTATGAATCTACAATATAGAAATTATGAATGTACAGCGCGTCCACCATGCACATGGTGGACACGGGTCCATAGCATAATTTGCCAAAGTATAAGTGCAATATTTAATGATGAATGGTGAATGGTATTGGTGGTGAATGGTACAGGTTTTAAGTTAGCTCTGCAGATTCAGGGCTTGAGACATAATCTGTGCCGTTGAAAAAACAAAATGGTTTTGCCATGCTCAATTAATTAGGTCATAATTATTAGGAGAGAGAAATGATTTGGGATAAAACTAATGAGTTTTATGATTAATTGTAGATTTTTTTTTTTTTATTTCTCAAGTAGCTAGGTCAAAAATAAATATTAAGCCCTCTAAAAGTTGAAGTCATGTATTGTTGCCATCTTACATGCACTGAAATCCGGTCATGCTAATAATACTACTCGGTAATCAAAACAATTAACACAATTCGCTAACTGCTAACTAATTAAACCACTAACTGCAATCCGTTGATTGTGAAACTATGCAAAAATCTTATGTCATACTATCAAGCTAAGTAATCAGTAATTTTTAAATAAAAAAAAAATCTCTATTAATTACTTCATAAAATATTAAAATTACAGTACAAATTATAAGAACAAAATACACCAATAAAATAGCTACTGTAACTATTCTAGAAGGCAAAACATGGATGCATGTATGCTTGGAAAATAGAGAAACAAAAAGACGACAATTAATTAACAAGTAGGTACGTATCTTGAAATACAATGAATTCTATCCTTTTACTCCTTTTTTGTCATCAAATAAGATGTTTGTAGAATTTTCTATGACTCTGATCACCATTTGCCTCTCGGTCACGATTAAACTTTAGTCACTAGATATTTTGCAAAAAAACAAAAATCATTTGTAGGAAAAACTTACATTTTGACAACCATGACATTTGATTATTCTATTGGTTGTGGTGATATAATTATTCCAATTTCTCACAACTTGACTCTAATTAACATGCAAATTACTCCAATATGTACTTTACTATTTTGATTATGATTGCATGCATATCAAATAACAATCGCCCCATTAAGGAATGGAAAATATAGCAAAAATAAATTTAAAAAAGAAAAACAAAAACACTATTACTTGTCCGCGAGAAGTGTGAGTCAAGTCAATAGAAAAAATATATGTAGTAGCAAAGTGTTGAAAGTGATGACGATGATATTTTTATTTTTCCTCTATTTTATTTGTTTGCATTCTAGAATGGAAAAGTTGTATGTCAGGTATGTGTCAATGTTTGTATATATTCGTGAGCATGCATTATTAAGATAGACTTGAGGTGAGTAGAAATCAATCGTCAAGGATTAGTGAAACACGTAATTGGAAAAGTAAATCCATGAAAATAAAATATCATCTAACAACATAATTAAGTAGGGTTGATATGAGAATAAAATGTTAGGTAAAAATTGATGATTGATATCAATAATTAAAAATTATTTTAAAAAAAAGAGAAAAAATTGTGTAGATTAGAACTAATTTTATAAATATTACAAATTTAAAAGTTTACAACAATTATAAATTGACCAGATTTTTTATTAAAATATTCAAGGGGTTCACAATTGATAGGAGAATCATATTCTCATTTGAGTACACTATGGGTGTGTTTGGTTCGCACATAGGAATCGGAATTGGAATGGGTATCAAATACTTGGTAATGGTAATGGGTTTTGGTGAAAGTATTTAACATGTTTGGTAGTATGGTAGAATGGGAATGGTTACTAATAGTAGTGCTTGAAAATGAATAAGGGAATGAAACCCTTATTCTATTTGGGTATGAGTTTTTCAATTGATGGGGTATTCAAAACCCATAGTAGTGTACTAGTGTTCTAAAAACCTATCAACCAAACAACAACAATCACTTTCATACCCATTCCTATGGGCAAAACCCACCAACCAAACACACCCTATATATGGATTTAAATGAGAACATTCATCCTATAAAAATAAGGATTGATCTTAGTCGTCTATCAGAGTTCATTAATATTTATAAGGTTTAGTAAAAAACAAAAATACAGAGTCAATTTTATAATTATTGCAATCTTTCAAGTTTGTAATAATTATAAAATTAGTTCTGCCATTTCCCCCTTTTTTTAACTACTCTAAAAATAGATTTACTCAAATTGATAGATCAGATTAGTAATTACTTTTTGCGTAGGGCCATGTTCAATTCTCACATGAAGCTTCCCCAATATAAATATATATATATATATATATATATATATATATATATATATATATATATATATATATATAATTCAGTTCCCGTGCGGTTATACGGTTAAATTTGAGTCATTGATCTTACCTAAATCAACGTCCAGGATTATCAAAATTAAAAAAAAAAAAATGCGGTGGCAATTTTGTAATTTTTTTATCTAGGTTAGATTTAAGGTACGTGGTTTTTGTGCTTAAGGTGAGTTGTTTTGTACTGTGTGATTAAGGTGCGTCAGTTGTTGAAAATTTAAGTGCGTCGATCTAAAGCTTTAGGTGCGTGATTTTCCTTCTTAAGGTGCGTGGTTTGTGTGCTTAAGGTGAGTCAGTTGTTGAAACTTAAGGTGCGTCGGCCTAAAACTTTAGGCGCGTTGTGACACCCCGTAAATCCAAAATCTGTTTAAGGATTAATTAGATAATTAATCCTAGCTTAATTGGTAATTTATTCCTAAAATTCTGAAAATTCAATAGTCGGAGGACTAGAAATTGACTAGTCAATCCAAGTCAAAGAGTTGTACTCTATGCCTTATGAGTTGTTCATTTGTCTCCTTACTCTTCCCACTTTAGTAAGGGCAAAGAAGTCTTTTTACCTTATGTTTGTGCCCCAAGCTAACCTAGCATCATCCTTCATTTCATTTCCCTAACACCCTAAACACAAAAGTTCCACCTTCTCTCTAGAAAATTGTTAGCTTCTTCTTCAAGCCAAGTTTTGGGCAATCCTAGATTCTACAATTTGGTCTCCAAGATTCATACTTTCTTAACCTTGAGCATAGGGGAGGGTAAGATCCTTGATCTCTTGGTGTTTTTAGTATCTTTTTAGGTGTCTTTTTCTGAAGATGGAATCTTTGTTGTCTTTTGGTGTGTTTGTAAAGTTAAAGTTGAAGGAGATCTTTAAGAGAAGCTTTAAGGGTGTGAAAAGTGAAGTTTTAGGCTACAAGAGGTAACTCATGCTTTACAAAATCTATTTTCTTACCTATATAATGATTTCTTGA